TGACTTGCAGAGGGGGGATGTTGTTGTGTCCTTGTCACAGAGGTGATGTGTCACTCGCAGCTTCTTGCCTGCAGTGATTGGGTCACCACTTCACCTACTCCTCAGGAGCCTGGAGTATTTGAGGTGCTACAACCTCATGCTGAAAGGCTCCTGCTCCACCCGGTACAGTTTTTGTGGGCACCCCTGGGATTTTGCTGGGGTGCCCGCATCATCCAGGTGCTGGTCTGGATGCAGCTGTGACCTTGGCAGTGCCGTGTGTCGGCTTGAGCTTCTTTCCAGCTTCTAACAGACACGTTTCCCATTGCAGCTCCACGGAGCCCACCACCTCCTTTTGCTCTGGCTTTGCTCTGATGCAGAAGAGACGCCCCACACTCATCCCAAATCCCTTTATTTGGCTTGGGCAGAGATCCCTTTTCCTACCTTGTGTGTTACTTCGCCACGTGAAGACGTGGTCTGTCAGACTGTGACTTCCAGTGAGGTGATTTGGGTCTCCATGCAACTGTGTCATTAACCAACCATCCATTAGTTACTTGGGTTTTTTTATGTCTTACAGGATTATATTTAATATAATTCCTTAGAAGGAATCACAGATGAGACTGAGAAGTGACAAAAATCCCCAAGGACTGTGCATGGGTGCTGGCTTCCCTCCCTGGTCTCACTCTGTCAACACCCTGCTTGGGGCTGTGCTGGCACACACCTGATGTATGTGTGTGGTTCCTTACACCTTGTGTGAAATTCATCCTCAAAATAATTATGTACTTTGGAGAAATGCAGGTAAACGCTGTGTCGAGGCAGTTGCCTGCATCATGCAGCCCTGTTGGCTGTCAAAAAAAAAAACCCCAACAAAGTCTTTTAAACAGATCTAATTCCAGGAGACTCAGCTGGCTGATTGGAATTGTATTTTTAGTCGTCAGTTCATTTATTTACCTGAAATTTCCGTCCCATTTTAGCTGGAGCTGACCCCAGTTGCCTGCTGCTTCTGCCTTTCACCTTTCGTCCTGAAAATACTGCGACTACACAAAATTTCCTTGTGTTTCACTGGTTGGTTTTTAAATGCTTTATTTCAGCAGATGTTTGGCCATACCGAAACCTTTGTCATTAGGGGTTTTAAGAGAGGTTGTGCAGGAGGTTGTTGGGAAAGACCCTGCTTTTGCACAGTGGGGTGCAATGAGATTTTCTCGTCCTCTTGGGTAACTGTTTTATCCCATCAGCAACACAGTGCTCACTTTTAATTTTACTGATAGGACCTAATAATGAGTCTAGCAGGTATCTGATTCTCTATTCCTAGCATGCTTTAAAAGTGCCTTACTTGACAATTAATTCTGTTGGCTGTTCACATTTATTGGATTCCTTTAGAGGTCCTCATCAGTCACTGACCCTGGACGTGTCTCTTTCAGTGCCATATCTTTTTTTCCCCCTTCTTTGCTTTTTAGAAGGATCGTGTTCCCGTGCATTTTCCACATCTTATTTTTGCCGGAATGGTTATTGCCCAATTTAACTCTTGCTGCTTTTCTGGGTTTGTAACTTTGGGGGTCTTTTGTAGATGCTTCAAGTGAGTCCCGTACTCTCAGTTATGCTAAAAATTACTTTCAGCTTTGTAAAACATGCCCTTTTAAATTTAGACTCTGCTGCCATTATTTTTGGCTTGTAGTTCCTGTGACTAGCACAGAACCAAGCTCTGACAGAAGAGGACTTGCATTAGACGTGGCAGTTCATTTTGGCTTCACCCTCGTCACATAGGTCTGCTGCTGCTCTGCGGGCAATTAATGCTGAAATGTGAGCTACTCCACCTGCCAGCAGTGTCTTTTCATCTGAAAGACTCGCTGGTGTGTTCCTTGGGTATGGTATTGATTATTCATTACTTGTTTGCATTGTGGCATTTTTATTTACCTCTCTGGCTTGTGTGCAGGCGGTGAATAGTGGCGAGATGTTCTCCTCCTTGCACCAGTGCAGCTGAACCCGTAGAAGAGACTGAAATTCAGTGTTTATGGCCTTGAGAATGCCCAGCAAATCGTCTTTGAGTGTCTTTGACACCTCTGTGGATCAAACCTGATCTTCTGTGACAGGGCGACCTGTTTATTGGATGAGGGAAAGGCTGTTGATTTTGTCTACCTTGACTTTATTAAGGCCTTTGACACCGGTTCCCACAGCAGTCTCCTGGCAAAACTGGCTGCTCGAGGCTTGGATGGGCACACGCTTCGCTGGGTAAAAAACTGGCTGATGGCCGGGCCCAGAGAGTTGTGGTGAGCGGAGTTAAATCCAGTTGGCGGCCGGTCACGAGTGGTGTCCCCCAGGGCTGGGTGCTGGGGCCGCTCCTGTTTAACATCTTTATGGATGATCTAGCGGAGGGGATCGAGGGCACCCTCAGTCAGTTTGCAGGTGACACCCAGCTGGGTGGGAGTGTTGGTCTGCTCGAGGGTGGGGAGGCTCTGCAGAGAGACCTGGGCAGGCTGGAGCCATGGGCTGAGCCCAACTGGGGGAGTTTCACTGAGGGCAAATGCCGGGGGCTGCCCTTGGGCCACAACAACCCCCAGGGGGGCTCCAGGCCTGGGGAGGAGTGGCTGGAGAGCTGCCGGTCAGAGAGGGACTGGGGGGGTGAGAATGAGCCAGAGTGTGCCCAGGGGGCCAAGGAGGGCAACGGCATCCTGGCTGGTGTCAGCACTGGCGTGGCCAGCAGGGACAGGGAAGGGATCTGAGCCCTGGGCTCGGCACTGGGGAGGCCGCCCCTCGCTGAGGGGGTTCAGTGTTGGGCCCCTCACCCCAAAAAGGCCATTGAGTGACTCGAGCGTGGGCAGAGAAGGGCAACGGAGCTGGGGCAGGGTCTGGAGCACAGGTCTGCTGGGGAGCGGCTGGGGGAACTGGGGGGGTTCAGTCTGGAGAAGAGGAGGCTGAGGGGAGACCTCCTGGCCCTCTGCAACTCCCTGCCAGGAGGGGGCAGAGAGGGGGGATGAGTCTCTGGAGCCAAGGCCCCAGCGCCAGGCCCCGAGGGAATGGCCTCAAGCTGCCCAGGGCAGGGTCAGGCTGGCTCTGAGGAAGGATTTCTGTGCAGAAGGGGCTGTTGGGCGTTGGAATGGGCTGCCCAGGGCAGGGGGGAGTCCCCGGGATCCCTGGAGGGGTTGAAGAGTCGGGCTGAGCCAGCGCTGAGGGATCTGGGGGAGTTGGGAACGGTCAGGGGGAGGGTCGTGGTTGGGCTGGAGGAGCTGCAAGGGCTTTTCTAACCAAGGTGATTCTGTGATTTCTGAAGAAAATCACATACTTCATAGGATTTGAATAAGTTTTGCAGCACTGAATCACTTGTTTCGCATCTCGACATCTTCATGCTCCTCACCTAACCAACCACTGCACCTTGCAAACCTCACCAGCTGCGCTTCCCAGGCAGGCGCTTGGCACTGGGAAGCCCCTGTGTGTTTCCCAGCATCTGTGCTAGGTGAGGTTAAACAGTGATCCCTTCCAAGGGCTTTCCAGGCAGAACTGCACGGCCGAATTCCCAGGAGCTGCTTTCAGCCCTGCTGAAAGATGCCAGAATGATCTTGCGGACGCTCCCCGTCCCTGGGGCTGTCTCGGGAGTGGGACAAGCTCCCAGATCTCTACCGACACCTTCCTCTGGCTTGAAAGTTGCAGGGGGAATTAGCACTGCTTCTTCCTGCAGCACTTTGTGTCTGAGCTAAGCCTGTCTTTAAAAAGCAGCCGGCGTGGTTGTGCTTGGAACAAGCAGCTCGGTTTCTATATTATACACAACAGTCATCTCTGTAGGAAGCTGGCCAGCCCACGCCGCTGCAGCAGCCCAGCGCTACATGGCTCTTAGCATGCTTATCCTCGGGGCGTTCCTGAGAGGAAGGGAAGGAGCAGGGAAACTCAAAAAAGCTTTCCCAGTCGCTGATGTGAGCATTCCCAGTGCTGTGAGGAGCGGTGCCCTGGGTACACGTGTGTCTGGGGGGTCACTGGCAGGGATGCTCGTGAGGTTTTTGTAGGTGGTCCCCTCCTGAGACCCGGTGTAGATCCATCACGTGCAGGTGGGAAATCTTCATCCTGCTCGTTTGCCCTTTGTATTGTGTCTGCTCTCACCATCCATGACCTGCCATGGATAAAAAGTTACCCACTGCTGTCCTGAGCTGTTGTCTTGGCTGAGTGATGGGAGACTTCCCAAGTCCGTACCAGGGAAGCGGCTTGGCTGTGTCTCAGCTTCATGTTAGGATCAGGGAAAAGCAAACACCCCTCCGGCAGGTACCTGTCTAGTGTCCATCTGTTCCAGCTGCTCAGATTGTTTGCACAAGTCAGTTCTTGGCTACACCTGATTTTACAACAGGATTAATTACATGGTAACTGATACACCTGCAACAATTAGCTACGTAAACCAAGATAAAAAGCTTAATCAAATTTCATGTTTCAGCATACAGGCCGCTTCCTAAGCCCTCCTCCTGAAATCCCTTCCTAAAGGAAACTCTGCAGATCATCTCTGGACCCTGAGAGAGGCTTGTTCCTACATGTAAGTGAAGCGGGGCAGGGGGAAGGCAACGTATCAGCTGTGGAGGCGTGAGCCTTTCTGGAAGGAGTTCTTCCCCCTTCCCTATCTCTCTTTTGTGGCTGTGATGCTGCTGGTCCCTCTGGAAGGAGCTGGGGGTATCCCAGCCCCAAACTGCGTGCTTCTGGTCTGGGGTTTTCTGGAAGAAAGGCGGCAGAAGAAATTGCAGGCTGGATCACGTTTGCTATCAAGGTGGAATATCAGTCCACGTCTGCCATCACAGCACCAGTTGTACCCGGCCCTTCGCCAGGGCTCTGTGCTCCATTAACTCTCCCTGCCCCGTCCTGTGAAATACGGAAAGTTTGGAACTATTAGCAAGTGCCTTTGGGTAAAGGGAAATGAAACCGTTGCCTGCTGAGGAGGCAGGGCTGGGAATGTGAATGTGGAAATAGGTCCTGGCTTAAAATGACTTCAGGGACAGAGGGTAGGTGCTGGGCTTCTTGGGATCTGATTCAGCTGGGACCGGTTCCAGTTAAAATGAGATCAAGGAGAATGGGAAGACTAAAAAAAAAAAAAAAAATTGTTACTTTGCATTTCTGTCAGTATTGAAACATTGAGACTGGTTTGCATCTCTTCTACAAACAATGAAGCTGACCGGGAGAGTATTTCAGATAATTTCTTTTAAGAATTCTTCTGCTCTCTGGGAATTTTTTTCTCGCTGTTTTTTTGTAATTCGAGGTTGTATCAGCTTAAGAAAGCCTTTCCTCAGAGTCTGAAATAAGCAGGCCAGCCTTAGTTTCCTTCAACATACCTCCCGGGCTGAGTGTGGTCAGAAATGCCAAAAATTAGCAATAATTTTGTGCTTTTAGTAAGGCAGTAAGCACGGAGCAGAGTTGCTGCTGTTTTTGTGAAGGAAGGCAAGGCTTGTCGGGAGCAGGGAATGGGTGGCCAGGGAGCTGGTGGGGAAGTGGGTTTATGGGGGAGCTGAAAAGGGAAGCCTCGTGAAGCAGCAAAAAAAAAAAAAAAAAAAAAAAAAAAAAAGTTTGTGGGGTGGAAAGGGGCAGCTCTTGTTGCTCCTGGGGTTGGCTGCTAGGTTGCTGGTAGGCCAGATGTGCATACAGCTGTGCTAGCAACAACAGCTGGCCTCTGTTCCTCGCTCCCGCATGGCCCTGCCACCATTTCCTAAACCTCCGCGAGGGAAATTTTGATGCAAAGTTGAAATTTCATACACACTTTTCTCTTGTCTGGTTTTTGCTTTACACTTGAGGTCGGTTTTGGGTTTTTCTTTGGGTATTGTCAGCGAGTCCTTTCCTTTCTTGCTTGAATAAAGGGCAGGGAAATCTCAGGTTGGATAGATTGGATCGGTGGCCGACGTCAACGGGACGAGCTTCAACAAGGGCAAGTGCCAGGTCCTGCCCTTGGGCCACAACCACCCCCTGCGTGGCTACAGGCTCGGGGAGGGGTGGCTGGAGCTGTCTGGGAGAGAAGGGTCTGGGGGTTCTCATGGACAAGCAGCTGAACAGGAGCCAGCGTGTGCCCGGGTGGGCAAGAAAGCCAACGGCATCCTGGCTTGTGTCAGCACTGGTGTGACCAGCAGGAGCAGGGAGGTGACAGTCCCCTGTGCTCTGCACTGGTGAGGCCACACCTGGAGCGTTGTGTCCAGGTCTGGGCACCTCAATCCCAGAGAGATCTGGAGGGGCTGGAGCGAGGGCAGAGGAGGGCAACGAGGCTGGGGAAGGGCTGGAGAATAAATCCTGTGAGGAGCCAGGGAAGGAGCTGGGAGTGTTCAGGGTGAGGAGGAGGAGGCTGAGGGGAGCCCTCATCCCTCTCTGCAGCTCCTGACAGGACATTGCAGAGAGGCTGGGGCTGGGCTCTGCTCCCAGGGGATCAGGGACAGGACAAGAGGGAACGGCTGGAAACTGCCCCAGGGGAGGGTCAGGCTGGGCAGGAGGAGAAAATGTTTCCCAGACAGAGTGGTCCGAGAGTGGAAGAGGCTGCCCAGGGAGGGGGGAGTCCCCATCCCTGGGGGGGTTTCAGGGCCGTTGGGATGAGCTGTGGGGGATGTGGGGTAGGGGAGAACTTTGTAGAGTCGGGCTGAGGGTTGGACTCGCTGATCCCGAGGGGCTTTTCCAACCTGAAGGATTCTGTGGTTCAGGTGGCATCTTGATGGGCTTTGCATTTGCCAATCGCTATCTGTGGTTGATATTATTGACTTTCCAACTTGTCTCGCGTTCCAGCTTCACCTGGTCTTATTAGACAGGGGCTCATTCTGATTATTTAAAAAGAAAACAAACATTCATGAGTCATGAGATGGCCGCCCCCGCTCCCAAAATACCTGCTGGATTTTAGGCACGACAGACGTCCGTGCCATCTGCCCGCTTCTTCAGGGCTGGGTTTTGCCCGGTGTTAGCGATCGCGTCGCCACGTCCCCTGATGTTAAGGCAGGTGAGCAGGTTTCTGGTAAATACCGACTGATTAACAAAGCGTAAATGCTGCAGAGAGCAGTTTGCTGAACTAGCTGAGGATGAAGGAGGCACGAGGAGGATTGTTAGCGGCGCTAATCGGGCTGGTAGAAAGGAGTTTGATCATGGCACTTGAAGGGCCTCATTATCTTGTGTGTTTGGAGAGTGTGGAGGCAGTTCTGCATGTGGGAAAGGCTTTTACGGTCTTTGTCTCCTCAAGTCATTAGAAACGCCACAGAAAGATGGCTCCGAGGATGAAAAAAAACCTATTTTATCGCCGAGCTGGAAAGCTAATTGCTGTCTGCTCTTCAAACGCAGCAAAATGGGCAGAGCGTGTTTCAGAAGAAGTTTGAAGGAAATTCCCATTCTAATACGTGCAGCATCTTTTCAGTACCTGAAAAATGTGTGTTTCAGGAGATCTCGGGAGCAGTCATGGGGCTAACGCAGTAGCAGAGCAGCTAGGGGGAAAAACTATGACTACAAAGTTTGGAAAACTCCTTTTTTTTTTTTTTTTCTCCCTACAGAGGAGCGTGGGTTAGTATTTTTGCTCATCTCACCCATTTCATTTTGCTGGTGCCATGAGACTGAGGAGGACAGACCCCCTGGGAAGGGGATGCCCATCTCCTGTGGAGTCCCCTCATCTCCCCATGATTTAGGTTTATATCATGGAATATAAGCTCATCTTCTACGCTGCCTTCTTTTATCTGAATAAATCTCATCTGCCTGCTGCTACTCAGACAGAAAAATATAATCTTTATTGCAGTAATATGCTTGTCAGTTTTCCTTTATCCCAGCAAAGTACTGTAAGACCTGCAAAAAGCTTTAGAAACACAAGCATTTTTTGAGCAATACTGAAAGGGGGGGGGGAAAAAAAAAAAAAAAAAAAGACTCTGAGACTTGAGTCTTGCAAACCAAACCACTCAGCCAGGTTTTCTTGGCATGACTCCTTCTGCAAAATGGGTATCTTTACCGCCCGCTGGAGCCAAAAGTCAAAAAAACGGCTTAAGGCTGTGAAATTCCTCAATCCTGGTCATTCTTTTACAGCCCCATGCGGAGCAGGAGGGATGTTTCAGATATTTGGCTAGATGCTGAGCACTGGTGGTCTGGAGCCCAAGCTGGTGCAGAGAACCTTAAGTGCGTTGTTCTCGGTGACACGTAGGGCAGACTGATGCCCTAGCCCTATGTTTAAAAGAATCAGATTTGAAAACATAACAAACCAACCCAAACCATCAGCAGCATCCCTGTTTTGCCATGGACTTGCTGTCTCCCTCCCACCTTCATTCCGGGCACCCAGATCTTGATGGGGAGCAGGATTGTGCCCAGTTTAGATGATCCTCGTGTAGCAGGCAGCGATAACCCGACAGCGGGCAGGCAATGCTTCATTCGTGCTCCTGTGAAGTGCTCTTTGAGCTTTGCTACTTAGGTTCCCTTCCCATTTTCATCTTTTTTTTTTCAACAAAAGTGTGGTGGTGGAACATTTCTTCTCCTGAGTAGCAATCAACTCGGACACGAAGTGCTGGGCAGTGTCTGAGAGGCACAAGCACCACATGGGATGGAGTGGATATTTCCAGGGCTCTGGAGGACCACAGTGCATGGTTGCACCCTTTCAATTTTCTCATCCTGGTGAAGACTACTCCTGGCATGAAGAATTACCATTTTACGGAATCATCTTGTTCCCAACTCCCCCATATCCCTTCCCTGTCCCTGCTGGCCACGCCAGTGCTGACACAAGCCAGGATGCCATTGGCCTCCTTGCCCCCCTGGGCGCACTGCTGGCTCCTGTTCAGCCGGCTGGCAATCAACCCCCCAGGTCCTTCTTTAAATTTTTGTGACTGTCTTAATTGCATCTAGGCAGCAGCCTGGGTGGTGTTCCCCAAAACAGACTGTGTGCCCACAACAGGAGCCTGTGGTGGAGCAAACCCAGGAGAACTGAGCCTGGTCCTTGTTGCAGAGGAGCTGGACACAAGAGCTGGAGGACTGGCTGGATCTGTTTTCCACCCTCACTTACCATGACCCCATTAAAATTTCACGGTAAAAGTGGGAGGAATAGAAGAGAACTTGCTATTTAAGGCTTAATTCATTTTTAACCTCAAGCATTAGCTGGAGTTTGTGCAAACCACTGGCAAGGCAATTAAAGTGACTTTTTAATGGGTTATTTTTGTCGCTTCACCAGGGTGGGAGCTACAAGAACCCAGGCTGTGAGTTGCCTGGGTAGGGGCCATCCTTTTGCTGTGCTGCTCTGATGCTTAATCCCTAATGAGCTTTTATTCTTGAGCCCCGGCTGAGTCACAGTGAGAGGAAAGGTGCAGAGATGTGGCTGGATGGAACATGGGGAGCAAAATATCCGGGCTCCAGCTTGGATCCATCCTGGAAAAAAGACTTTGGACAGCACGGAGTCTAGCTTGTTTGGAAGTTGCTGGGTGTTTTGTAGGAGTAAGCTCCAGGACTAAAAACCAATTTAAAATAAATGGATTCTCTGCGAGTTGCTCTTAAATCCTGAGGGTAATTAGGAAGGAGCAAGTGCTACCCCTGCTCTCTGCAATGGATATAGCTGCTGCACCCCACGTGGTGAAGGCTGCCCTGATGATGATGAAGTCTTAATTTCAGGCTCGTTTTGGGGGACACCTTCCCTGGGGGACACATGTCCTGTCTGCAGCCAGGGAGAGGACAGGGGCTTGTCACTGTGGGGTGGGGGGGGGCGCAGGTCCCCCCAGGGCACCAGGGTACAATCCCCAGCATGTTCATCCTGGATCGTCCTGGCCTCACGTTTTCCTCTCTTAGCACAGTGCATCCTCCTGAGTTACTCGTTCCCTCCAACTTTTTGAGTCCGTTTCACAACACAGCGTTGGAGGAATGCAAGCTCAGGTCTGGCTGAATTAATTCCTTCTGTAACTTGGCCAAGAGAACCCGGGGATGAATCTGTTTTTCTCTGCGACGTGCATTCATTCAGCTACTTGCCTGCGTTAAGACACCTTGCGATCTCTCTCTTACCTGGGTTGTTTAGAGGAATGCTTTCTAAAAATAGCTGCCTGGTTTGATGTCTTCCCAGTATTATTCTGTGTAGCACTGAAAACCTACCTAGAAAGTCTGTCCAGTTCATTAATGTTCCCTTAAAATGCAGCTAATCCATGTAATCTCATTATAGTAGTAGGTGATTATACTGAGAGCGAGCTTTAGCAGTGGTCCAGCAAAGCTTTTTTATTCCCCATCTATTATCTGGATGGCTAAAAGTCACTGGGAGTGTGTTTTGGTTTTGGTCGGGTTATTTTAGGACCAGGACTTGCAACATTTTTGTTTTAATTCTCTAGAATTTTTGATGATGCCGGCACGATTTCCGCCACTGGCTTTCAGCTTTGCTGGCTGCTACCATCCCATGATTGCACACCACACGATCTCCCAAAATCATGAGACTGGGAAGCATTAAAACAGCGGAGACTTTTTTTCCCCCTGGAGTAGAAGAGGGGGAATTTGGCCCTGTGAAGTTGTTCAGTGTGAGATTCCCAGTTTCCAAAACGTTGGCAGGTGTGAGACCTTGCGGCCTCGTTCTTTAGGGAGTCAGACCGAGGAAGAGGCTGGAGTTTGGGATGAAGCAGTGAAGGATGAAGTGGTGAAGCAGTTTGGGCTTGAATGGCGGCTTGAAGTAGAAAAGTCTTTCGGTAGATGCTGCTGCTTAAAGCCGTGTAGACTTGCATCGAGGTGGCCAAATATGGTGAAATCCCACGTCTGGACAGCGATTAATTCTCCTGGAGGTTTGAACCTATTCCTGTGCGTTTACGATGGGTTACGGGTCATTTTTTTCCACCTACATGGTCTGGCCAACGCCTTGGGGAGCGTCATTTTGGCGAAGGCTGCCGTTGCCCTCCCAGAGGGTTGTCTGTAGGTGGATGCTCCGATCGCTCGCTCCTCTCGAGGACGAGGCAGGCAAGAGCACGTGGCTGGAGGTTCAGCTCCCCTGAGCCCCTGACGGTGCTGCCTGGGAGGAAAAAGGGACGTCAAGGAGGGTGTTTCCTGGCTGGGGCGCTGGGCAGTTCTCCACGCCGTGTCGTTTTACCCCCTTTCCTCTCTCTGTCGTGGGGGGAGCATCTCTCTTGGGGCTGCAGCAGCGTGGGGCCATCACTGTGGGAGTGAAAACCTTTTACCAAGTGGTTTCTGCAGACAGATGCAGGTTTGTGGGGTTGTTTTTTTTGTTTGGGGTTGGTTTGGTTTTTTTGTTCCCCCCTCTCCATAAAGCCTGTCTTCATTGTTTTCCCAAGCTGAGCGTGCAGATCTGCAAGCGATCCAGGCCTGTCCCCCAAACTAAACTGGATGAGATTTGTCAGCGAGCAGAGGGATTAAAGGGAAGGTTAATCTCCACGAGACACAAGTGCAAGCACTTTTGTGCGATCCCGGCGCAGTGTTTTGAGAGGACATCAGGCGCTTTGCGCGCAGAGGTACCTCTTGGGGCCTGTGGAGGGTAGGGGTGAGTTGAGGAGTCCTCCTGCCACCTCTCTGCTTGCTGGCACTTGTTACACATAACTCCTCTGGGGCAAATTCCTGGTGTGGGCTCCTCAGTCACAGTACAAAAAAAACCCCAAAAAAAACCCCCAAACCAAAACAACCCTCTAGGGCCGTTTCTATGGGATTTTTTAAATATTTTTTTTTTAATAACCATCCTGCTTTTGCTTATCTTGGTCCAGCCCCACCAGTGATAACACAGGCAAAGTCCTGACCTGTGGTGTCCTGGGGAGTGAAGGCCCAGCTCTCCGACGAAGCGCCGGCAGAGAGCAGATCTCCTCATCTCTTTTTTAGAAGAAAAGACTTTGACGTGCCAAACCAAAAGGGCAAAGTGATTTGCCCCGATAAAGTATCGTGTTTCTGCTCGGATTTCTGGTGAGGGGAGAGGCTTCTGAGTCATCCATTCTAGGAATTACTTTATTTAGGTAACGGAAATAGTTTTAAATTGATGTGCTGTCAGCCATTAAAAGCATGAAAACCGCAGCTGGCAGGACTAGGGCTGAAGAGGGAGCAGGATGGAGACTACAGGTGCTGTCTGTCTCTCAAGGATGGCTTGACAGAGGTGGAGGCCTTCCTAAAGATGGAGCTGGGTTTTTTTTTGCAGCTGAATTCCATGTCAAACACGTGTACCTAGGCCGTCGGGAGAGGGCACGTTGGCCGCGGGGCGCGCGCACTGAGCCGTGTTTGTTCAAGGCACTGTCTGGCTGCAGAGCACTGAGCCTGGAGCAGTTTCACATGCTGGGTCCTGCTGGGAAACGAGACCTTTCCCCACGTCTCGCCTGTGTTGAGCCACTCGCAGGCCTCTGCCACGGCTGATTTACTAAAAACCACCCGTCTGGCCGGGGGCAGCCGGGTGGCTTTCCTGCACCGCTTAAAATCCCTGCGAGTGTCAGCAAGTTCTTCATTGTTTTCTGTTCTTTCTGTGAACTAATGAGTTTTTTTTTTTTTTTTTTTTTTTTTTTTTTTTTTTTTTCCTGAGTGTAATTTGGCCTGGCCACAAGTGCCCTAACCATTAAAGAGGAAAATTCCCATTTTCCTGCGAGAGGTTTAGGCAGCAGAGGTGGCTTTGCAGTGCTGAGTGATGCTGCTCCGCTCACTTACAGTACAGTGGTATGCATGGAAAATTGTGTGTGTGTGTGTGTGTTACTACCATTCAAGCCACAACTTTGGGGTCATTTTTGTGCTTCTTCCTTACGGTTTTCTCTTCTCCCTCTGGCTTTTCCCACAGGCTCACGGAGGTTTCACCTTCCACCTGGGGCAGCGCTATTTGGTGCCTTCTGGCCTTTAAGCTGGTGGCATCTCTGCTCGTTTCCTTCTCAGTGGGCTTCCATTTGGATCTGGGTATTAAAGGCATCTGATAAGTACTATTTTTTTGAGAAATAAGTATATGATCCGCTCTTGAGCAGGTTACAGGGCTGTTGTTTGCTACAGCTGGCTTGTCAGGACGTGGTAGATCCCAAAGGAAAAAAAATTCTTCGTGAAAACCAGGTTACTTCAGAGTACCCGATGTGCATCAGCAGCTCTAGCGAAGCTGGAAGGGTAAAACCTGTGCTCAGAAACCTGGAGTACACTCATCAATTTGACTGTAGTAATCAGCAGGTTTGGGGAACAGCTCGTTCCTCTGAGATCAAACTGGTTTTGCTGGGATGGGTTCTTGTCCACCCCGTTTTCCTGTTTCCCTGGAATTCCATTGGGCAGATCTGGTTTATTGTTTCTCCTGTGGTGCCCGGTGTGGGGCTGGAGCAGAGCCCAAACTGTAAGCAATGGGGTGTGTGGAGGGTCTCAGCATGGGGCCCCCAAACTCCAGGATAGAAACCTCGTGTTCCTGGGAGATGCAGGAAGTTGCAAAGCGGGGAACCGGGTCCGTAGTAGATCACTTGAGCTGCAGGAGGGAAGGGAGGAGGCTGTTCGCCAAGACAAGAGCAGAAGCATTGCGTTTACCTGTGTTTAGCCCTGAAGAGTGACCCTCCCCGGAGCTCTCTGCGGGATGTTCCTGCAGAAGTGTAGACGTTTCACTGAGGGCAAATGCCGGGGGCTGCCCTTGGGCCACAACAACCCCCGGGGGGCTACAGGCCTGGGGAGGAGTGGCTGGAGAGCTGCCGGTCAGAGAGGGACTGGGGGGGTGAGAATGAGCCAGAGTGTGCCCAGGGGGCCAAGGAGGGCAACGGCATCCTGGCTGGTGTCAGCACTGGCGTGGCCAGCAGGGATTTCTGTGCAGAAGGGGCTGTTGGGCGTTGGAATGGGCTGCCCAGGGCAGGGGGGAGTCCCCGGGATCCCTGGAGGGGTTGAAGAGTCGGGCTGAGCCAGCGCTGAGGGATCTGGGGGAGTTGGGAACGGTCAGGGGGAGGGTGATGGTTGGGCTGGAGGATCTGCAAGGGCTTTTCCAACCCAGATGATTCTGGGATTCTGTAACTGAGCACCAGGAGCCTGTGTTTATTGATGGAAAAGACTAATTAAGTTTCAGCCTTGATGCAGTCGCTGGCCTGGGAGCTAAGAGCTGCAGGAGACTTGCCTGTATTTCCCTCTGCTTTAGTAACTCTGTTACTGTGACTAAAGCTTGGAGAGATTTCCTAAAGACATACGAGTCCCTCACAGGAGCAGCTGGCACCAAACTCCCCAGTCTCGGTCCGCTACACCCTCCACCGCGGGGTCTCTGCTGCTGGGGCCTGGCGGGATCGCTGCGGCGCGGGGAGCACTGAGGCAGAGATAAAGGACGTTTGAAAGGCTTTTGCTGAGGCAGAGAGGGATGCTAGGGTGAAGAGAAGGGATGAACAAATGAATCTCGTCGTGCTGCTGCCAGATCTAGCTGATACAGGAATCGATAAGCTAAGCCTATGTGATGAGCACAGCCCCTGCTAGACCCCTCCTGCTTTTGCAGCTCATTGTTTAATCATGGGCCCAGTTGCAAAGGCGGTTGAGGTCTAATGGTTTGCGGGATCTGACCCTTTACAAGGTGTTTAAGTGAGAGATTGCTGTTATCCTCCTTTAATTAGCACCTGTGGTGCTCTTTTAATAACAGACATCTTGTTTGGACACTTGAGCTTTAATGAATTCAGGCAGTGGGAAGGATTGCTGCTGCTTGGAGGGGGTTGGCTGAAAAGGAAAAGGTTATCGCATCCTCATGGATCTTGTGTGGGGAAATGCTGGGAGGTGGCAGCCAAGAGCCCATGTGAGGGCACCCAGAGCCCCCACACCCAGCCCGTGTGAGGGCACCCGGAGCCCCTGAGCCCATGCGAGGGCACCCAGAGCCCCCCCTGAGCCTGTGCAAGGACACCCGGAGTCCCCTCCCCGAGCCGCTGTGAGGGCATCCAGATCCCCACCCTGAGCCTGTGTGAGGGCACCTGGAGCCCCCAAGGCCATGCAAGGGCACCCAGAGCCCCACCCTGAGCCCGTATGAGAACACCCAGAGCCCGCCACAAGCTGATGTGAGGGCACCCAGAGCCCCCACCTCAAGCCTGTGTGAAGGCACCCAGAGCCCCCAGCCCAAACCCACGCAAGGGCACCCAGATTCCCCTCCCTGAGCCCATGTGAGGGCACCCAGAGCCCCCCAAGCCTTCGGAGGAGTGAAGGGAGCAGAAAGTTCAGTTCAAATCCCAGCAGCAACATGAGGGCAACTGCTTTCCTCGTGCAGAGTGGTGGGGGGGAAGAGAGAGAAAGAATGGAAGAATAAAAGAAAACTTCTTAATCCCTTCATCTTTGTGTTTTATGGCACGAGGGGTCCCGATGATAAAAATCTCTGTTTGCATCTGTGCAGAGGCCCCTCAGTGAAAAAGCTGTAAGAGAGGTAAATTGAAACTGTAAAATAGTTCCGTGTTCATTAGGAAGGAACGTGTCTCTACATTTCCTGCATTATTCTTACATGCACAAGATTTCTTGGGAATTGGATTGTATAATTCTCTGTATAAGCAACCGTATTCCTTCCTCCGTCAGCCCTCCATGCCCAGGCAGCTGGTGGAAACACGTGAATCGTGGCAGCTCCTGACCTTCCCCTCCAGCCGTGCTGTAGGTTTGAATGATGATTTTGACCTCACGTGATTTATTAAATCGATGGGATTTATGGTCTGCAGAACAGGAGAGTATTCCAACAGAGAAAACGTTTTGATATGTGCTTTCTGAAAGTACCCCAAAGCTTGCCTGGCTTTAAATTGGGATAGATAATGGGTGGGAAAGGCGGTGGGAATAAAGTTAACTCTTAAATCCTAGTGGCCCTTTGTGTTCTACTCATTTCCAGCACCCCAGCAAAACTCACTATCAAGCACATGAGCAAAAAATTGGGGTTCCTCCACCAATATAAACAAGTCAGCTTTATTTTCCCAGCGTGTCATCTTGGTGTAACCACCAATTTTCTTACTCTCTGCTCCCGACCCTCTGTTGTGCTTCAGGACCTGTTGGCTGTATTCTGGTGCAGTTTGCCCTGAAGCTCCCATTGAGTTTGGTTTTTCAAGTGGATGGCAGATCCAGGCCTCATCCACTTGAAAAAAAAAAAAACCCAAACCCTGGGGCTCTGCTTCCATGAAAATAAAACACGTTTTTGGCATGTGCAGCCAAATAACATGCTGCTGGTTTTACGACTGCTGTTGGTCTAAGCAGCTGTTCTCATTAGGCCACTGAAATAAGACTTTTTCATGACAATAGGCTTCTTCATTTTCAATACTTTTTCATGACAATAGACTTGGAGAACCAAAAGACAGGGGAAAAAAAAAAAAAGGGATTACTGACGCTGGGGCCAACATTCCCAAACTCCCTCTTGGTCAGCAGCTGTATTGCTCCAGGATCCAGCACTTTGTTGAAAATAAACATTTAAATAGTTATTCCCCCCTCTGCAATTTCCAGGCATCAGCTGCCTGGATAACTTGGGAGCAGCACCCAGGCTGTGTGCAGGCTTTAATTAATTTCTTAAATGGAATAACTGGTCAGAAGTGGTGTCTGATTTGGATAATAGAGAGCACTGTAAAAAGAACTCCTGTAACC